CCGAGAAGGCTATTATTTCCTTGGTGAAATAGTACCCCCGGCTGTTATTTCCTTTGTGAAATAGCACATGTCATACCGTGTAGATCCGACCGGATCAAGATCTTGCGGTGGTCCACGGATTAACCCCGACACAGGCGAAGAACCCACACAAGCGAGAGACCGCAAAACAGGATCTCGCGATTCGTTCGATATAAAAGGAAAGTTGTAATTTTTATTTTTTCTTTGATCTCGTTGTAACCGGATCTTATAAAAAGACCGGATCTTTGTAACAGATAAACTGTTAACAAAGGAATCAATGGAATCAATGAGTGCAATTTTTCCCGCGAACAATATTGTGCAAATAAACATGATTTCATTGATTTAAAATTGTTAAAGCTTAATTTTGATGAAATCATTTCGATCACATACAAACATGAAACAAATATGTGTGTATATATAATTATATCCATTTGTTTCATATTTATGTGGTTAAATTTGAAACCAATAAAAATAATGTGTGCGTATAAGTTGAGCTCTAAGTATAAATACACAAAGTGTAAACTTAAACTACAAAACTATTTACCCAAGCTATACTTCTTCAATGTAGCTCAACTTGGTTGCGGATGAAGCTTTATCTTGCATTTGACTTTGAATTCATTATTGTTTCATTCTGGTATCTGCCAACCTCCTTCGAATATCATCGTTAAGCTCAATTCCATCTAACCTCCGACATTAATGTTTGTCTAGAATACCTAATAAATAAATACAAACACTAGACAAACGATGTTAGGGATTGTTTGTAAATCATCAAAACAAGATTAGATAGTAGGCTTATAAACATAAGACCTAACTCATTACGCCTCTTTCGAGACAAACGTCCGTCAAGCTCATTAGTATGCCTCTAATTGTCTCTATACCAATGACTTCGTCAAGTTCCTAAGTGCGTCTCTAAATGATATCATCATAACTTGAATGAGCGATTCCATAAGAGAGTTACACCAAATAGAGTCTAGTCTCAGAATATTCAATATTATAATTCTTCCAAGATAAGCATCTATCAAGATCATCAGTACGCCTCTAAACGTTGCAACCCAATGATTTCATCAAGCTTCTCAGTAAACCTCTGAACAATATCCTTATAACTTGAATGGCTGATTCCACAAAAGAATTGCATCAAATATAGTCAAGTCTCGAAATGTTCAACATTACACCTCTTCCAAGACAAACGTCCGTTAAGCTTGTCGGTACGTCTCTAAATGTTACTACCCTAATGATGTCGTTAAGCTCCTCAGTACGCCTCTGAATGATATCATCACGACTTGAACAATGATTCTGCAAAGAGTCAAGCTAAATTGAGTCGAGTCTCAGAATGTTTCAATATTACACCTCTTCCAAGATAATCATCGATCAAGCTTATCAGTATGTCTCTGAAGATGACGCCTATTGACACATTCAAGAAAACACCTCTGCTAGACTATCTCCGAAAGGTCCAATGAAACACGCCTTCCAAAGAGAATTCAATTGTTGATTCTTAAATACACCTCTGGCACTAGCAACCTCTCTATTCATAACACAATCCCTTTTTTCACCAAACACCATTAAACCCATCAATGGAAAGAAAAAGGTTTTCCTGAACAAACAAGCAATTACCCGCCTGAAGAAATTTAAAGTTACGCGAGATCTAGACTCAAAGATTCCAAAAACTTTGAAGGGGATCTTGAAGGCAATCAAAAAAGTGAAAGCACAAACCTTTCAATAGAGATGAAAGGGGATCTTGAAGGTGGTCAAAAAAGTGAAAGAACAAGCCATTCAATAGAGATGAGTTATACATGAAGACAAACCCCTAGAGATACTTAGGTCATACTATGCAAACCCAACATAACTAAGAAAGTTGATTGAACGAAGGAAGAATATTAAACTCTAAGTATGGGAAGACATAACTAAGAAAGTTGATTAAATGAAGGAAGAACACCAAACTCTAAGTATGGGAAGACATAACCCAGCAGAACACAATTCAGCGTAGATTTAAAACTCTTCGTGGACCTAAACAAGCGTTTATACTGAAGAACAGTTTGAACATAACATGGACTAACCACACGAAACTCAGACTTCACATGTCGTTGATGCGACAAAATTATGTACCAAAATTGCAAGTACACAATTGATCAAGTTATAGTATAAAAATATCGATCCCACGAGGAAGATGATTTTAAAAGATTATTAGAATTGGTTCTTATGTTTTGTGCGCGATAAAAATAGGATTAAAGAATAAATATGATTGTGATGAGTGATTGTTGTGAATATATGCAAGAGACAATAAATTGAATTTTAGAGGAGAGAAGAAAGAATCAAAGAATAAATAAAATCACAAGATAAGAAAGAACAATGAATAAAATCAAGAAATAAAATCAAGAATGAAAAGAAAATTCAAGAAAGTCAAGAAGGAGGATTCAATTAAGATATGAGAAATCTAGAATTTAATCCACTAGCTAATCTCATTTACAAAATACAAACTATTCTCTTTTTATCAAATTTTAACTTAGATTTATTAAGCGTAGACTATCAAATCATTTAAGGAAAGTATAACTTATCAAATTATCATCTAAGTTAAAATTACTATTCATGATAAGAATAACAACAAGATGGTAATTCTAGAATTTATAAGCATAACCTATCAAACCATTTAAGATAAGTATAGATTATCAAATTCTTCTTCTATCAATTAGTTTTCTAGTTGATTATCCTAAATATGAATATTTTAAGTGAAAGAGAATAATTCATACAATATAAAGGAAATTAGACTAGTTTCATACAATTCTAAGATTCCTACAAGAATTAATTTCACATCTTAAGAAATAAAAGCAAGAAGAAAAATAACTAATTATAAAAAGAAAAGAAAAATCTAAACTATGAACAAGAAATAAATCTAATTACAAAGAATTAAAATCTAAACTATAAAATATATTACAAAAATTAAATGTAAGAAAATAAATCTACTCTACAAATTAAAGTGTAAAAAAATAAATAAAAAGACAAGAAAATAAATCTACACTATAAGCATGAATGTAAATTTAACTAATAAGCAATAATAAAGAAATTACTAAAAAGAAATAAAAGAGAAAAATAAAAGAAAAGCAAACCTTCAAACTTTTCTTCATCTCCATCATCATCATCCAACAAAGAGAAGAAGATTTGAAGTGGAGAATTTTTTTTTTATTAATTGTAACAAAAGTTACAAATTTAGATGACCTTCTCAATTAAGAGTTATCTTCCTCTCCAAATGGAGTTACAAAATTTTTCACACCTCTAACCCCTCACTCTCTACCCCTATTTATAGTAAACATCAGTGAATGAGAGCCATTGGATTGAAATCTTATCCAAAACAAGCAAATTTCAGCCATAGATCTGTAACAGAATGACGGAGGTATCGATACTAGCATCGATAGGGGTATCGATGCGGGCATCGATACAGGCATCGATGCGATGCTGGCATCGATGTCAAGTTGTCCTTGGTTGTTGTCCGCAGATTCCTCTTGGGTTTGCTCTTGGGCTTGGGCCTTGGACAATTTCTTGATTTCTTCATGCATTTGTTTGGGCTTTGGCATTTCTTGGGCTTTTAATTCTTCTTCTTAGCTTGGGTTTTTGGATAATTTGGAAATTGATTTTCTATGGGCTTCTTTGCTTTATTTCTTCATTTAATCAATGGGTTTTTGTTGAGAGATGAGAGTTTGAGATTTATTCTTCATTAACCTGCATTTAAAGATAAAAATAATTATTAGTGTCATATTTATTCATATAAAATAAAAATAATTATTAGTGTCATATTTATTCATATAAAATAGATAATAAGGGTATAAAATTGTAATAAAATATGATTATCAGTCGTACTGAAGACGAGATGTAGCTGACACGATTTGATCACTCCATCACAAGTCTAATCACAAACAGAACTCATGAAATGCATTGAATTCGAGAAGTAAGTAGTGCACATAAGTCGAGTCTCATGGTCCCAAGGCAACGCATCACCAAACCCATCGTAATTCTCGAATAGCTCACACTGAGTTTAGTGGTCGCGATACAGTGGATTGATTGGATGGAAGTAATAATGGCAATGACTTTTCTTCGGCTGTGTAGGAATAGGAGGCCACGCCACATTAAATGCGAGATGACTTAAGATATTATGCCCATGATGATAAACAGGACCCACGGGATTTCACGCCTACAACGCACTTAATGAAATCCGGCGAAGTGATGGTCAGCACAGGTCGGGGGCATAGTTGTCACATAGACTGGAGCCCAACTACGTGCAGACGAACTCCACGCGCAGTTCCACATTAACTTTATATATACGCTCAAGTTGTTGTTCTTAGAAGAAATTCGGCTTTAGGATCCTTGCACCACGGTAGGTAGAATCTTTCTTCAAGCACAACGTTTTAGGACGCACAACGACTCGAACCAACTTTCAATAAGTATTTCAGGAAATTCATATTCAATGTCTTGATTTTTCGCTTTCTAGTCCAATTCTAACAAATTGCAAATTGTGGAGGTCATATTTGTGCAAGTGCGGGGACATGATGAGAGAAGGATGCCATCTGAGACGCAAGTATATTTTCAAAACTCAAAAATAGGAATGCACCTCTTTAGGTAACCAAAATCCTCCATTGCAATCTTTCCTTTCCAGTCCAATTCTATGGTAAGATATGACATTTCATTATGTATGTTAGATCCTCTCCATTTTTCCCCATAAAAATTACTTTCCAAAAATTCTTTTTTTTTTATTTTTCTTACTGCACGTCGGATCCTTTCCTAGTTTTTCCAACCATTTTTTCCAGCCAACCGAACGGACACCAAACAGAAAAAGGTCACCTGTCCCACTTACAGGGCGAGAATGAACGGACAGCGTAGGGGACGCGAGAGCGGCAGCAAAAAAGCCAAATAAAATTTTACAGAACTTCTGTTCTGATAATTTTTTTTTTTAAATTTACAGAAATTGGTGAGAACATAGAAAAAAAAAAAAAAAAGCTTTAAGATTCGTTCCCTTGAGCACAAGCTTAGCCTTATAGGGGAGCAGCAGCGGCTTTGAATTTGTGCGAGCGGGTGAGAGTTCTTGATACCTTCACCTTGTGATTACGCATATATATTGGTTCTTTATTTTCGATTCAAGTTATATTTTTCGTGGGGTTTCTTTATTTTGATCTATTTTTGGGGTTAGGTTTATTTCGTTGAAGGAAGGTACATTCTTGTGGAACCTGGTCTTTCTCTTATCGGCATTGATCTGCTTATTTTAATTATTTGGTGGATTATGTAGTGGTTTTGGATTGAGTTTGTGGTTAGATAACTGCGAATGTCCCTTGATTTGTTGTAGTGTTTTGGGCACTTGATCCAAGGTTGGAATTTATTGTTTCAATAATTTTGCTGGTTTGAGGAACTGCAAAAAAGATTTCGAAAGATCCTTCATTCTAACTGGAATTTTCTCTTTTGATGAATGGTTTTGGAAACTAAGGGCGAAGGTAGCTTTTGCTTTGGGTTTGGATTCATGGGATTTTCTTGGCTTCCAGACCATTTCCCCCCCAATTTTCTGTTTCTTTTTTGGAGTCACCATAGGAGTAACTGGATATTAATTTGCAATTTAGGAACTTTATGATTTCATTTTTCAGTTTTAATTGTACACATCTTTACGTTAAATTTCATAAAACCCCATATAAGTTTGGGTGACTTTGACATAACTCAAAACTCACTGTCACTATGGAAATATCACTTAAGCCCTAATCCCATGTGAACTACCTGCCACTCACAATTAAAAAAAAAGATTAATAAAATACATGAAACAACTCTATGGTATTAGTTTGTTAAAGATAAAGAACTAACGAGCTATAATATATGAAGTATTACAAATAACCCACAAAGTTTCAAAAATTGCACAAAATGTCCTCGAAAGTTTAAAATTACACAAAACACCCGGATGTTTCAAAACTTAAAACAATAAACATGAAATCTGGATATTAACAGCAACCTTTAAACAATTTAAAATCCGTAGATTAACACCCTTATAACTATAGGTCAAATCTAGAAATTTTCAGGAGACCGCTGAAAATTTGAATTTTACAAAAAACAATCCAAAGTTTTAATAATTGCAAAAACACCCTCAAAATTTCAGAGTTCCAAGAAATACCCTATCGTTCGAAAACTTATCACCAACACATGAAAATTAAAAGCACCAAACTTAAAATTTAAATTTTTTTAAAAATACTCTCAAAGTTTCAAAATTTGCAAAACACACCCTCAAAAATTTAAAATCACATAAAAACGACTAAAATTTCAAAACTTAACAAAGGAAAAAGTAGTTATTTGATATTCTTTCATAAAGATATATAAATTTAACTTCCAATTTAAGGTCTACGATCCCTTTTAAACATCTAAATATAGTCTACTTTTATCGAAAAAGATAAACGCGGAGAAGGATTGATATCAATTAAAAAAATGAAACAAAAGGAATGGAAAACATTGTTTTATGAATAGTTTATAGAATACTTTTTTGTTTTTGAGCTAAGTTGCATGGAAACGGGCACGAGTACTGGTATGAGTACGGGTACTGGTACGGGTGCGTACTAGACATCTAAACGACCCATTAACTATATAGTTTTAAACTTGGGTATGGACTGAAACGAACCCGACCCGTATCTCATTAGTTTCAAAAGACGGATGTGAAGTGTAAGCTCTACATCCAGGAAGTCCTACAAGTGTTTTAAATTAACACATATATCGTATAATTGAGTACATGTTGTAATAAATGCATGCATATATTCAAGAAGTGTCCATGAAGTTTGGGTACGAGAAAGTGTCGGGTACGTGTCCGGTACGGGTACGGCTTCATTATAGAAGTACCCGGGTAACATAGTTTTTGAGTAAATTAGGAATCTTTATAAGGGAATTTCATGAACTTTTTTTAGTACTTTTATATGTTTATGTTGATGCTTTTATTATGCAAAAGTGTACTAGAGTTGGCATTAATCTTTGATTTATGATTTTTTTAAAATGTCTATAAAGGATTAGAAACAAATTTCATATTATCTTTTGTGTCATTTTAGTCCACTTTTAATCAATCACCTTGTCTTATTAGCTTCAATTATTCATGTTCCTGATCAAAGCCTTTATTTTTAGGAATATGATTTACACAAGGAGAAGGACTTGATTTTTAATGTTTCTTAACATATCATATATTTCCAACTACCAAGTTTCGCTGAAACAAGATGACAACTCCAGAGAATGATAACCTCGAGAAAATTTCTCTCTGCGAATGTGAGCAAAGAAATGCTGATTCATCCTTGCATGCAGAACACTTAATTCCAATTGCCTCAAAGAAAGAGGATGGTTCGAGGTCTTACACAACTTTGATGATTAGTCCGACGACTGGTAATCCTTTTCCTTTTGAGCTTCCGTGAATTTCCTGTATCTGATTTGCCTTATTTCTGTTTTTCCTTCTTATTCGTAAACAATGTGAAGGAAGGGACCATAAATAAGTTTGTAGAGAGAACAATTGTATTGATTGTTGTTATCATTTGGTAAATCGTGAGTAGTTATATACATCTCATTGTCTATCTATCTCCATGATTATGGGGAATGGTATATTCACATTTTCCACCATATACAACTTCATAATTGTGGGAGAGAATCATGATATAGATTTGAATTATTTGATGTGTGTTCCATGAATCTACTCTTGGTTGAGATGGAGGGAATTACCGTTCCTATTACGAGCTTTCCTTATTTGTGTTGCATTCCGTAGTTTCTTGATTTTCCTTAATTGCTTGACATAATGAGTATATCATGTTACATCTGACAACTAATAGATTCTTATACTAATTTCTTGGTTCAGATGATGCTCAAGCTTGTTGGGATACTCAAAAAAGGTATTACATGTTTTATGAAGCTTTGAGCTGCTTTTTTTACCCTGTATCATATGTTATTGGCTTATTGCTGCATGTTAGCAAATTTTTCAGACTAGAGAAGAGCAATCTTATAACTATTTTTAGAATTTTAAAGGTCCACTTCATTTTTGAGATTATCCTGTTGATTACTGGGTTTGCACTGTTTTGCTTATGACTGCTGGATTAGGTATTTTTAGAATTTAACAGGATTCTTACCCGGAATATAAGCAAAATTGCACTCCTCCCCATTAGCCAGCCATACAACTTTAATGTCTCCCACTAAGACTTCAATCTGGTGTAAAGTTTTTGTGTGAAGTTTTTGTGAGACTAGAAGGTTTTCCATGATTGATTGAAAGAACTGTAAATTTTCAGGGACTATGGAGCTGATGTTCTAGATACCGGTCAAAGAAATCCAAGCTTAGACATTGCTGAAATTGTGGTAGAACATGGGAAAGAGAGTTCCTCGAAAGATACCATTGTTGAGGACTCTAATGCTAACATTCCTATCTTAGGAGAAAAAGGTTACATTCCTAAGTCATTAGCACTGGAAGATTGCGAAGGCAGTGGAAGTGAGAAAACTGAAAAACATAACCCCATGCCTGAAGAGGGTCAAAGGAATTCGGAGAATGCTGTTAGTAAATCATCATTTTTACCCAGTGGTACTAATACTGACATCTGGAAACCACCTGAACCATATGTCCTGGAGCATGACATGGACAGTGTTGCGTTTAATGATGATGATGATGATTATTGTGGTGGTACAACTTGGGGCCAGTCAAGTTCATTGAGTAGCTTTGATGAAAACTCTCAGAACCATCATAGTCACAAGGAAGAGTGGAACAAGGCAATGACAGAAGCTAGGAATGGGCAGTTCAAGACTCATGTTATCCAACTTCTGGGCTTAGAGGGTTTGGGTGTATCCAATGGAGATGGCGGTGAGAATTGGCTTGACATTGTGATCGCTTTGTCTTGGGAAGCTGCATTGCTTGTTAAGCCTGATGCTAATGAAGGAAGAGCTATGGACCCTCGGTCATATGTCAAGGTGAAGTGCATTGCATCTGGTACTGGTAGCCAAAGGTAAATTCTTAGTGAACACAGTGCCACATTATTCTTCATATGTAACTTGAATTCATTTCTACATTCCGGTCATTAAGGGTATTTTAATACTTCATATACATCTTTTGCTATTTTGGTAGAAATTTAGGTCTGAATTATTCTGCATATGTAAATCAAAATTCATTTTTACAGTCAAGTGATCAAGGCTTTAGTTTTCAAGAAAAACACTGCACATAAGCACATGCCTACGAAGTTGAGGAATCCTCGACTGTTACTCCTTAAAGGATCTCTTGGGGATTCTGCAGTTGGGTTATCATCACTTAAATCTATGGACCAGGTAGACTTCTGGTAAAGAAATTTGTGTATTTGCTTGTTACGAAAGTATTTTATGTAATTGTCTATTTTTCTTATTGTTGGATGCAGGAAGAAGAATATAAACAGGCCTTTGCTGAGATGATAAATTACTGTAATCCTAATGTGGTTTTGGTGGAGAAAACAGTTTCACGTGGCATTCAAGAATTTCTTAATGAGAAAGGAATTGCTTTGGCCTTTGATATGAAACTCCGACGTTTAGAAAGAATTGCTCGCTGTACTGGTTCACAGATAATTTCTTCTGCAGACATCCTGTTCAGGCCCAAGCTGAAGCAATGTGATTCTTTCCATGTTGAGAAGTTTGTAGAGGAATATGACTTTACTGGAGAAGGTGGAAAGAAGCCGACCAAAACTTTAATGTTTCTAGAGGGTTTTCCAAGACCGCTTGGTTGTACAGTAAGTCTGATCTTTATACTAAGTTTATACCCATTTTGTTGCTTAGTATAAGTTGTACACTGACATGAAATAATTTCATCACGTGCATCGTGTAATCTTTAATTTCAATATGTTAATTTTTTATTTGTGTTATCTCACATTAAAAGTCAATTAGCCAAAACATATGTTTATTTTATAGAACAATAATTTTAGAGGAGAAGCAGCGCAACTTGAGACTCCTTACTCTATAAAATGATCAAACTTGAATATTCCAACAATTTGAAACCTTATGATAACCTATTGGATCTGAGATGCAAGCCTTGGGGTGAATAGGATTGCCTACCGTTTTTTTTGCATAATCACATAATAAACAACGGAAGAAAAAATAAATTACAACGATAAATGATAATAAGCAATAATACCAACACAAATGCAACCAACAAGAGATACATGAAATTTTATAGTGGTTCAGAAAAACAATTCTACACCCACTCTTTCTTCTTTCGAAAGGGCTTCTTCGCTATGATAGAGTTCTTCTGAATCACAGACCTGATTCGGTAGACTTGCGAGACCACACCTATGTTTCTGCCCGAAACCAGTCGTCTCATCTAACTCTCACAATAAGTAATTCCTACCCCTACCTAGTCCCAACCCTCAATTAAACCGGCTTGAGTGTCGTAAAATAGGTTCAATGAAAATAAAAACAATTAACAATTTAAGCACAATACAAAAACGATCTTACAATGCTTTCAATTAACAAATTTTCCTTTGAAAGATTTAAGCAAAGCATTGATGAAGAATGGGGATGAAGATAAACTCCAAGGGCACCTCTCCTCGCTGTGAACTAATCGGATGATGTGCGTGGCGAGTAAGCATTTGATGAGACTCCAAGGGATCAAAAAGCTCTCTTTGATCACCAAACTCTAACCTTAGATCTCCTTTTTCTTTCTCTCTTTTAGTCCTCTAATTAAGTTAGGAAAGAAATCCCCAAACATAGGAGAGAATAAAGGTTTCATGTGCAACGAACGGCCGTGATTAAAACCAAAAATTTCGAACCATCCATCTTTATCATCTCTCTGGACATTTGCGTTATCGATGCCATAAGGAACCATCAATGGTCTCCTTGCCACTATCGATGTTCAATGTGCACTGTTAATGGTTAAAGCTATGAAATCAGCTTTTGAGCCCATTTTCATTTCGTTACGCCTCGTTCATGTTCTACATCAATGTATGCCTATACTAGATCATCTCAAACATAGAATAGACTCAAATGGATGTTTATTATTACTCAAACTAAAGATATCGTACGGACAACATCCTAACAATCCCCCTTTCTTATAATAACAAACTTAAATTTGAAATATCACAGTAAATACATGTTTGACATATATAAACAACAAATAAGCACACATACACTTTAATGAAATAGGAAATGATATGCAATATTCCCCTTACAGTCATGCATACATGATAAGTGTGATGAAAGGACATGTATTGTGAAGCTTCCCCTAAAACAATGCATTGACTTTTTAAAAAATATTTGAGAAACCAAAAAACTCATGCATGTAACAAGACAATTCCCCCTCTTTTGTTATTAGCAAAAGTGAAAAACACATTAGTGGATATACAGGATACAAGATAAAATTAGATAAACACCATCTAAAAAGTATACTGGAGAGATATGCATACATGTTCATGTAGAAAATTTGTATAGAAAATAGCGCAAAAGACCAAAAGTGAACCAGAAAACATATGAACACGAGAAAGACATCGAGATATGCACACACGAAAAGATGAATAATCATTGTAAGTGCGTGAAACAAATAGTGAAGAAACTTAGACTAGTTCAAAAGACATTCTGATATAAAAATGTCATAAATGAGCTAATATGAAGACTCGAACTAACTCAACCTTTAACCTAAGGAGAAAAGTGTTGCTCTATTGTCTTAGCCATATAGGATGTACAAGGAAGAACGATATATTTTCACATTATCTCTAAATATATTATATATTTAGTACACGATACATACCCATTAATATATGCATGAACAATAATCCACAAATATGGGTCTTTGACCATCTTTCAACAAATATACTCGATTTTAGTGGATTTAACAAGAGTATGAATATTCGATAATCTTTTAACAATTACACTCAGTCACTGTTCATACCTTGACATTTCATACCTTGACATGCAACTAAGTATATGATGATAAAGTAAGTTTGTGCACTAACCAAGTCAAAGAAGCTCAAAACACATTATATACTCTGAAATATCTATGAACTGATTATAAGACTATAACTCTACCATTCCACAACAGTATACAAGATAAATATGAAATAAGTGTGTGCGAATGGCATGTGAAGTGTCTCGTGAAACAAAGTGTCATGCAGTTAACATTTGATCATTGTCTATGGAAATACGTATATAGATTGAAAGCTAGATGCGAAACTGTGCATGTCATATTCATACCTATATACTAATGAATAGTATCATTCGAAATAATCTTGTTAAGGCAAATATATAGGCATGTCCAAATATTCTTTTAATTTTTTTTATTTTTTAAATTTTAAGGAAAAACAAAAATAAGCAAGATAAAAATCAATAAAAAATGTAAAAAATAAAGACAAAACAAAAGAAAAAAATCAACAAAAATCAAAGCAATATATGTACAACAAATACCCAACATGCTAGATATTAAGAGATAGAATGCCTAAGTCTTGTATCAGTCTAGTGAAACGGTCTTCAGACAAAGGTTTGGTAAAAATATCTGCAAGCTGTTGTGTGTGTATATATAGTCTTTTTCTCACCTTCCATCAACGTCTTTTCTTGTTCAACTTGATCATTGAGATTTATTACAAGAGGGTTATTTGCATTATTAACATAAACAATAGAAGTGTGAGTTTCATCAAATTTGATATGGATATCAAGAACTTTTTCTCTTTTGTTGTAAACTCTGAATGCCTTGCTATATGAAGAGTATCCTCAAAACACACTCATCAGCTTTAGAATCAAATTTCCCTAATTGATCTTTCGTGTTTAAAAGATAACATTTATAACCAAAAACACGAAGCTGTTCAACATTCGGGGATTTTTGATAGTAAAACTCAAAAGAGGTCTTATTTAGCAGTGGTTATAGATAGGCTCTATTACTTAACATAGCATGTCGTGTTAACTGCCTTGGCCTAGAAGTATCTTGGCAGTTTATACTCATTTGACATAGTTCTAGCCATCTCTTGTAAAGTTCGATTCATTTTGTCGACTACCCCATTCTGTTGAGGTGATCAAAAGGAAGAATACTCATGAGTGATTCTCTTAATAACATAAAAATCTTTATTTTTTTTAAAATTCTACGCATGATCCGACCTGATGCTACAGATGAGAAGATCTTTCTCTTTTTCAATTCTTTTCAAAAAAATTCAAAAACTTTAAGCCATCAGTCTTCTTATCTAGAGACATGATCCATGTACATCTAGAGTGATCATCAACAATCACCAAACAATAACTACATATGACCAAATAAATCTAAGTGAAGCAATTGCAGTAAGTTTAAAAGTGCTCAACTAGTTCTTCAAATTATGAGAGGATCTAACAAGTTTAACTTTTGTGCAAGCCTCACATAAACTCTCACTCTTGAATGTAGAGATAGACAAACCTCTCACTAGCTCTTTCTTTGAGAGTTTCTGCAACATTCCCATGGTTGCATATCCAAACTTCCTGTGCCAAAGCTTACCATCGTCTCCTCCTACGACCAGTCACTTTACAATGTCAGATTTGATATCATTAAAATTCAAAGTGTAAACGTTAGCATGTCTATTTTCAGTAAAAATAATTGAACAAATTTTTGAGTCAATAATTTTGCACACAGTACATTCGAAAAGAATAGACATACATTTATCACATAGTTGACTAATTGAAATAAGATTATGCTTCAAACCATCAACAAGTAATACTTTTAGGAGCTTAAAAAAATCATTTACTATATCGCCAACTCCTACAATTTTACCCTTGTTATTATTTCCACAAGACATATTTCTACCTTTCTTTTTATCGAGGCTAGGAAACAGTTCTTTCTTTCCCGTCATATGTTGTGTGTAACCCAAATCTAAACACCATGTGCTGTGTTACTCCTTAGCTCTCCTTTGTACCTACATGAAGGAGGCGATGTGTGGCTTACGTATCCAAAAAGGTCGATTGTGGTTAGAAATAGTGCCTTTTGCCACTCAAATATGTTGTACAATTTTTATCCTGTATTGAATCCTACATGATATTGAATGGCATCCCATTCATTCACACAAATAACAGATTGTAAATGAGGCATTTTGATTTGGTTGGAAAAATGAGAGATTGTTTCCCATAACAAAAGAAGGCTTGAAAGTTTGTGTTTGTTTGAGTATGAATAGCTAAATTCAGTTTTTGCCTTTGGGAACCTTTGATTCAAAAGAACCATATTCATACCTTTTGAGCCTAAAGAAAAATCTTTCACAGGCTTTTCCAAGTCAAGATTTTTGTACTTAAGCATTTCATTCTCAGGCACAATGGTAGTACAACAGGTCTTCAAATTCTTTTGTTCAAGAGAGTGTTCTTGTGAGAGAGTAGTTACCTTATTATTGGGTTTATCCTTTTTGTTTTTCAGGCTATTGAACTCTTGAGTTAATACACTAATTTTTTTCTTGAGAGAAGAACATCCATTGTAATCATTAGATGAGGGATTCAAGTTTGTTGTATTAGATACATTCGATTCTGGAATAGAAGTTTCTAAATTCTATTGCAAGTGGTCATAATCTTTCTTTAGATTCGAATATATTCTTTTCAAGGTGTTATATTTATCAGCAAAATTTTCAAGCTTACCCAACATTTCATTATATTTTCAAAAAAGTTCATGATAAGAATGATATACCTCATTCTCAGAATTTTCTTCATCTGAGTCGTCTGAAGTATCATCCTTGACTATGAGACAATGACTTCTCTCATTCTCGCTTGAGCTCACTTCAGACTTATCACTATCACTCGAGAAATCCCAGGATGTTGCTCTGAAGCTCTTGTTCTTTCCTTTATGATCCTTCTTGATAAGGGAACATCTTTTCTAAAGTGACCGGGTTTCCTGCAACGATGACAAGCCGGTTCAGTATGTGAATATTCTTTCCTATCTTATTGAAGCTTTGTTCTGTCGGTTGCGCATAAACTTCTATCCATCCTTTGATATCAGGACCGATTTGAAACCTTTGATTACTAGCCCTATTTCACTCCTACAATCATCCTCTCAGATCGTGCTTTCCTCCTTTTTCGACTTATCTTTTTCAGCCTGAAAAATCATTGATTTCTTCTTTGAGCTACCTTTAGAATCCTTCTCTCCTTTAGTCTTACTTCATAGGTGAGAAGGTTTTTTACAATATTTGCAAGGGTTAATTTAGAAAAATTTTGCAATTCCTCAATGGCCGTCACCTTTGGTTCCAATATCTGGAAAGTGATTGAAGAATTTTTTATCACAAGCTTTGTTGTCATATTATTACTATAAAGTCTTTGATTTGTTCATAATGTTCGTGAATCGGGTGAGCATATCCTAGATGCTTTTTGAGGTTTTTATCTTAAAGTTTTCATACTTGATCACGAGCATTGTAAATTTTGCCTCGTTTATCTATATGTCTGTTCATGTGCAACCTGCATAGTCTTGCCAAATTTCGTGCGCAGTTGAACAATTTGACACACGATTAAATTCCTTAGCAGTCAAGGAGCAGTAAAGAGCATTCATATCTTTTGCATTTAAATAGTAAAGTTCTTAGTCAATAGGGGTCCACTTACCTCTAGGTGTGACTACGGTGGTATCACTAACAATGGTAGTGGGTTCACTATAATCGGTCTCAACAATATTCTAGACTCCAAAATCTATTGACAACAAAAAGACTTTCATGGGCATTTTCGAATTGGTGCAGTTTGCAAAATCAAAAAGCTGGAGCCGATCAATTGCGTGTCCCTCAGAAAAAATCATTGTGACAGTTAGACTTGACATCTCTACTCTAAGTTGTGAAGCCTTAAAATGAGTAACCTGGCTCTGATACCACTTGTTGGATTTGTGATGTAAGTCTAGATGGAGATGAATAGGATTGCCTATCGTTTTTGCGTAATCACAAAATATGTAGCGAAATAAAAAATAAGTAGTGATAAATGATAATAAGCAATAATATTAATATAAATTCAACCAACAAGAGACACGAGATTTTATAGTAGTTCGGATAAATAATTCTTCATTCACTTTCTTCTCGCGAAGGGGCTTCCTCACTATTATAGAGTTCTCCTTAATCACAGACCCGATTCAGTAGGCTTAGAAGACCGCATTCTAGTTTCTACTTGAAACCAGTCATCGAAACTAACCTCACAATGAGTAATTCCTAGTCTTAGCTAGTCTCAACCCTCAATTAAAATGACTTGAGTGCGCCCTAAAAGAAGTTCAATGAAAAGAAAAACAATTAACAATTTAAGCACGATACAAAAATGATCTTACAATCCTTTTGCTTATCAGACTGTTCTTAGAAAGATTTAAGCGAAACTTGATGAAGAACGAGGGCTCTCCTCATTGTGAACTGATCAGATGATGTTGTGCGCATCGAGTAAGCATTTGACGAGACTCCGGGGGATCAAAAAGCTCTCATTGATTACCAAACTCAAACTTGAGATCTCCTTTATCATTCTCTTTTTCGCTTCTAATTAGGCCTGGAAAGAAGTCCCAAAACATAGGAGTGGATAGAGCTTTGATGTGTAACGAACGGCTGAGATAAAATTCTGAAATTTCAAATCAGCCGTCTTTACCATCGGTGGTGACTCGACCATTGATGGTATCGAGCCAACATCGATGGCCAAGCTATGTCGTTGATGATTTGGACGTCTTTGGACATTTGCATCATCGATATCATAAAGAACCATCGATGGTCTCCTTGTCATCATAGATGGTCTTCTCGTCACCATGGATGGTCAATGTGCACCGTTGATGGTTAAAGCCCTGAAATCAGCTTTTGATCTGATTTTCGCTTGATTTTAGTTCATTCATATTCTATACCTGTATATACCTGTACTAGATCATCTCAAACATAGATTAGACTTAAATGAATGTTTGTTATTACTTAAACAAAAGATATTACACGGGCAACGTCCTAACATAACCATCCATTTGCTTTCGAAGAAAACGAGTTTTTTGCTAAGAATCTCTTGGAGGAGCCATATTGTTAAGGAATCAATAAGTTGTGTGCTGGTTACAAAATAAATGCCAGTGTGCTGGTGACACCATATAAGAAGTTTTCACTGCATCCAAAAATCCTGTCATAATTTGTTAAATATACTTAAATTTTATCTGTGAATATGATTCCTCCCCTAGGTCCTTTCTTTTTCCTTTTTGTGCTTACGAAAATTCAAAAGGACAGATTTTCTGCGGGATCATAGATAGCACTATACATACTATGCAGGGTGTCTTCACTCTGTCTTAATTTTGTGATATCATCTTTTTTCTGTATAAATCACGTATTGTTTCTTGCTTCAGATATTGCTCAAAGGTGCTCACAGAGAGAAACTGAAAAAGGTCAAAAGCGTACTGCGATATGCAGTAATTTCAGCATATCACTTAATCCTTGAAACTGCATTCTTTGTGGATCAGAAGACATTTTTCTATGACACGAAAGCTGTGAAAGAACTAAATGATACCTCGATAAGTGAATCAGGAGTTTCTTTAAATGGTACTATCTCCATTGCCCATGATCTTAGTGGTGCTACAGCTGGCAGTTCTCCACTTAATATTACATCGGATCTTCCAATTTCTAATGTTCCAATTTCTGATGGGAAGCTGCTGTCTCCTGTTTCCGCTTCTCTCTGGAGATTCAATATCCCACCTATTATTGACTCCATTTCTTCACACGTAGAGGTCAATGAAACATTTGATCCTAGGACGAAAGAAAATGCCAGAACCGAGCAAGAGGAAACAGGTAATCGGTTGAGCAATGGTGAAAAGGCTGGGGTAGAGTTGATTCATAATATAAATATAGAAAGAACCAGTGATACAACTACTACTGAGGTGAAAATTGAAGGAAAAGATGACATTGAGAGTTCATTAGACTCAAAAAGCATATTGGTATTGCGGTCTAAGTATTGTATTCCCAAGCAGGAAGATTGTGAGCAAGGTCACGTTTCTCGTATATATTATTATGGAAAAGATGACATGTCTCTTGGACATTTTTTGGAAGATATTTTACTTTGCCAGGTTTGTTTTTCTTTTCCATTGTTTTAGGGGCTAATTACAGATAGACCTCCCATATTATCGCCAATATGAACTTACCACCCTGTAGTTCTATTGTTGCAGAATACAGAGAAACCACCGGAGTGAAAAATTTTAGACCCTTTTCATGGGGTCTATCTAGATTTTCACTCGGGGGTCTATCTGCAACAATATAACTCTTTGAGGGGCTATCTGCAACAGAGAACTACTAGGGTAGTAAGTTTGATGATAGATAGGAGTCTATCCACACTTCATTTAAATTACTGTCTCACTTTTTACAAATTTAAATGCATGTTGAATATTTAGTCTTAATGTCTGTTGGAGGAGGCTGTAATACTAGTTTCTCCATTCATTGCAGGAGCATAGTTGCTCTTCTTGTGGCCAACCACCAGAAGATCATATATACCGTTATACACACAAGAATGGTACTCTCAGTGTTCTTATAAGGCGCCTTTCTAGGGAATTTTTTTTATCAGGTGAAGATGAAGGAAAAATTTGGATGTGGACCCAATGTTTAAAATGTGAGCACAAGAGTGGGACTCGGAAAACACGGAGGGTTGTGATGTCTTCTGCAGCTCGTCGTTTCTCATTCGGTAAGTTCTTAGAGCTCAGTTTAGCTAGTCATTCTGCAGCTAGCAGGACATCTAGATGTGGGCATTTACTACATAGAGACTGTCTTCGTTTTTTTGGGTATGTTTTTCATTTTCCAAAATTTATAGCAGCTCTTTTTTTCAAAGAGTTCTAAGAATGATCTCACTCATTAGCCTTCTCCATGTATCCTCATATGTAACAGGTTGGGCACTAAGGTTGCAATGTTTAGGTATACCTCAGTTGAAATATACACCGCGTGTAAGCCACCACCAATGCTGGAATTCTGTAATCCAAGCGAACAAGAGTGGTTTCTAAGAGAAGCAAAAGATGTATGTAATTTAAAATTGTAATTAATGTTTCATGCGGTGCAAATATTTTCTTTTTTCTGCACTCTATTACTTTTTTCTAAAAGAAATTTTCCTTTTAAGGTTCTTTCAAAAGGAGATATTTTCTTCACCGAGATTGCACAAATATTAAAGAAGTTAAAGCCTAAATGTTCTAGTACTTCCTTTAAGCAACACATGGAGCTTTCAAGTTCAGCAGTTGAATTTGATGAAGTTGAAAAGATGTTGATGCAGGAAAAAACTGAATTTGAGGTTCCCTATGCTGTCATTACCTTTCTGTCCTTTCATACCTATTGTTTCTTTTCTTTTAACTTTTATTATGCTAAACTAATATATTCTATTCCAAATGTTTCTTCAATAGGACTCTTTGAAGAATGGCCACAAGATTCTCAATTTGAATTGGCTAATTCAGGAGCTTCTACTTATGCTTTATATTTGGGACCGTCGTTTACATTCTGTTTCACTACATGCAAGAGACGTAGAGACTTCCAATGATGCAGCCGATGAAATACTCCACGAGGTAAATGAAACCATTCAGATTCCTATTGAAGCTAATGAGTTTTCTTCTAGTGGAAATCATCACGTTGTAAATCATGTTAGTTTAGAAACCAATTCGGAAATGGATCAGTCTGAAGTTCCTAAAACTGAGTGTTTGAGTTCTTCTGAGTCAATGATCCAGGTGCAATCCTATACTGCAGAAAGTTCTCCTTTCTCGAGTTTTACAACTGGTGTGGAAGAAAGCATTTCTGTAGGCTTGGATCGCATGCATGAAGACAACTCTGTCTCAGTTTCAATTGAACCCCTGGAACCTGTTGAAAAAGTAAAGAATTTGGAGGAACCTGAAGTTGACAAAATGGCTGCTGAAGATTCCCAGATGTCTGATGAATTCAAAATGGACGATCCTAAATGGATCTGGTCTCCTTTTTCTAAACTGAGAAAGGAATTAAGGCAGGATCTTCATGATGGTTTATTAATAAAGTTTGAATTTATTAATACATATTCTCCAACTTACCTTTCAATGATTCCTCAACTGGCTACTCAAGTAATGGATTCACTTCATTTCTCAATTGGTCCTGGTGGCAATGTGATATCTGTAATTGAAGATGAAATATCGAGTATAATTTCTTGTGCCCTGGCTTTGTCTGAAGCTAGTCCTGCCTCTTCTGAAAAAGTAATCGGAGCCAAAGAGAGGGAGGGCAAAGGTGATACTGGCAATGAAGTTATTGACACTCTTAGAGTGACTGACATCAGTGAGACATGTACAGAATCTTTTGAGACTGAAAGAATAAAGTCATCAAAGAGTTTCTCATCACTTTCACCGAGTGAGCTAGCTACTTTTGGTTCTGATGGTTCATTATTTGATGATAGGTTGATACCTATGGAAAATCTGCATCCTGAAACCACTGTTGGGTCTTACAAATTTGCTGGAAAGAGTAAATACTCAGTGGTTTGTATATACGCAAAGCTTTTCTATTCTCTTCGAAAGAAGTGTTGTTCATCAGAAATGGCCTATATAGCCTCCCTAAGCCACTGTAAGAAGTGGGATGCTCAAGGAGGAAAGAGCAAAGCAGTATTTGAGAAGACAATGGACGATAGATTGATAATAAAACAAATAAAGAAGCCTGAATTTGAGTCGTTCTTAAAGTTTGGGCCATATTATTTTAAACATGTTTATGAGTCCTTAAACTCAGGAAGCCAGACATGCCTTGCAAAAATCTTGGGGCTTTATCAGGTTTTTATTCTTAGTAGCATTCAAACTGATAACATTTTGCATACAAGTCTTATTCATACTGATAATTGAATCCCTTTTCTGCAGGTTAGGCAATACAAAAGCGGAAAAGAAGTTAAGACTGATATCGTGGTGATGGAAAATCTTTTCTTTGGACGAAAGGTTTCTCGCAAGTATGATCTAAAAGGTTCTGTTTACTCCAGATACATCTCAAATTCAAATAATTCCGAAAGTGTTTTCTTAGATCAGAATTTTGTCGAGGACATGCGTGTATCTCCTATATATATTGGAGGGAAAGATAAACATGTTCTCGATCGAGCAATTTGGAATGATACGTTTTTCCTTACTGTGAGTAAAACATTTTTTCCTTTATACTCTAAATATTCAAATGAAAGTTCAGATTGTAATTTTGGTCTTTGTGCTGATGTTTGCAGTCTATAGATGTAATGGATTACTCCTTACTTGTGGGAGTGGACAGGAAGAAGAAAGAGATTGTATTTGGTATTATAGATTATCTGAGGCAGTATACCTGGGACAAACATTTTGAGACCTGGGTAAAGTCTAATCTTGTTGTTCCTAAGAATGAATTACCAACTGTAATTTCGCCAAAAGAGTATAAGAGGAGGTTCAGGAAATTTATGAGCAAATACTTCTTGACACTTGATACCTGTAACTCACAGCAGATTTGAAGATCCTGCAGAAAAAATTTTAACGATGAGAGCAAAAATTCATCCAGTCTACATAAAGCCGTCAGAGAAGTAAAACTAAGATGTTCCTCTTCTCTCATCATCTGCCTTCATATATGTTGTATATACATTTGTAACATTTGATCTTCCCTGCATTTGCGACTTTTTAGCAAATATTTTGGGAAATTGTCCCTGTTGTTCTTTCAAGCTAATTTTGTTTCACATCAATATGTAATACAATGGTCCCAGAATTGTAAAGTTGATCTGTTACATGTATCATTTGTTGGATAGTAGCACTAGTGACTGAGAATTTGTGGTATATGATGAGTTCTACTCATATAACATTTGTAAAAAATTCTCCATAGAGAAGCTATCAGTAAATAGAGGTGGTACCAATTTCAGAAAGCCTCATGCCGTATTGTCAAAAGGTACTTGTTGCTCAGTCCATTCGAACTCAGCTCTGATTGCAGTTAATTTTATATGCTGATTCTGATGTTTACTTTGTGCATCTAGTTATGCTATGTGCTAATTTGCATCTGGACATTTGACTGCCTAATTTATTTTCATTTTGTTAGTCTGAAAGGGCAAAAGAATTTTGTTACCAATTTATTCACTGACCAGCTGTGAATACTCAGAATTAATTGATTCTTTTTGTTGAATGCCAATAAGACTTTATACCTTTCATATCAGATATGTAAACATACTGGAGCCGGTATTCGTTATTGAACTGTTAACAGCTTACTTTTTTGTGAGAAAGGTTAACATCAGTGCAGGCCCTTTGACAAACTTCACTGTGGAGGTGTCTCCTTTTGAAGAGGTTCATTCCCTGCTTAGAATTTTCTTGTGTATCTATCCTTCGAGGTATATCACTTTCACTTGGATCATATTCATTGCTTATTTGTTTTTGAGAAATATTCATTTATTAAAATCTTGGTTGGTCTTTGCTACCTTGGTACATTAGACTGTTCTTTTTTTTCCCTTAGTTTCACTGTTTATTGCATCACCAACTTGTATTGTGTTATTGGAAATTTGAAGGCCTGAAAGATGCGGGAGGTAAACCTGTTTATTATATGTCATTTTAATTGTTTTACAATGCCAAGTAAGTACATGTTGAACATTTAAATGGACTCTTGACATTCCAGGTAAACCACAATGTAAGAGCCATGTTTTTGGTGAAAAATAATCCATAATATATGCATGATATCATTACAATGAAGCGAATGCTTCCAATACTTAAGATGACAAGGGATTTATATTTATCTATTCAGTCGAGAGAATTGTGATACATGGAAGTCAAATAAGCTCCTTTCGTGCCGATGAACTCAAAGTTAGGTTCTGCTCTTTACTAATACAATGAATTTGTCATATACCACTATTTGGAAGTGGATTTGTAATTCTCTTAAGATCAAATTAGTAGCGTCTAGGAAATGGAGCATTTGTAACTAATTATCAACACGTGTTTATAGTTTCAACTCAATGCAGGTTTGAAAATTTATCGTTAGATAAGATTTTTTTTTTTTTACTTTCTGATACATCTAAGACTGACGGTTTGTTGACCTGGATAGACCTATATCTGGAATATATGTATAATCGTAATCATAAGTATATTCCCATTAGTGTTCTGGCCGTAAGGAGTCTTAATCTGGTAAATCATGTGCATCTTTTGTTCACTATAGTCTGCAAACAACTTTATTCATAATCTTGATCTTATGGGCTGCAGGAAAAAAACATATATCAAGAAAAAATTAAGAATTATAGACAGACCTTTTGCTAGACAAGTCTTTGACGGGAATATTATTTGCTTGGAAACTAAGAATAGATGAGTGTAAAGAAACTATGTCAAGCAGTCAAATATGAGGTTTGTAATCTGGAGCCCTTGATTTCCTGTTTCTCTGTTACAAGGTCAAGTAATCACTTTGCCAAAAGCTTAACCTTTTCTTAAGCTTTTCGGCAATGTGGTTATTTGACATGGCATTAGAGTAGCATATTTCAAGAGACTATGGATTCAAGCTCATCACTGGTAAGTCAACTATGTATTTCTAGGTTAATTATATCTATGTTGGGGACTTTAGGGGACCTTTAATGTAATTGAGAGGAACAGAGGTGGGGAGTGTTGGAGCGCCCAGTTTATGTTATATATAATTGTTAGCCAACAACCCAGGGATTTAAGCTCTTGAAAGAAATAACTCTTTGAAGAGTATACTAGCAATGTTGTCAGCTTCACCTCAAAATAAATCCTTTTTTAGCTTTAACTATATGTGATTTCTTAATCTCAGATACTCTCTTTCAAAAGATCCTCTCACATCAAATGTGATGAATGTGGACATCTTGTGCTTAGGACACTGATACTTGAATATGGGTCACTATTTCAAATTTCAAGATATTACTATTGGTTTCATAATACACTTGTGTTCATATTCCGCTTAACTTTTATATGCTCATGTTGATGCGATTCTTCTCGATCCTCATTGCTGCCAGAGTTTTGTATTTGCTTTTGTAAAGCTTTTCTTGCTTACATGTCAAAATTTCCCATTTACATGATAATGTTTTATAAGTTACGCATCATTATACAAAGAACGAAATCACCAATAGTGTGTCACTAATCTGAAAACTCATGCCTTTTGACTTGAGGTAAACAGTTGTTTTACAGTGAAATTGCATTCTTAAGGTTCACATGTATAAAAAGGTAAATATGCATAGTCATAGCTAAATATCAGCATTTGTAGTGACTAGCATTTTCGTGGATAATCCTCGATTAAATGAGGCCTTGTTTAATTTTATATGGTCTTTAGAAAATTGTTATTTTTGTTCATCCATAATGTGGACTGTTGTGGTAAAGGAAACATCTTTTTTGATCAGCAAGACCTTTGAAACAATCATTACTACAGCACCTTTATAAGAATTTAACAGAGTGGAGCGTGCACATTAGATTGGTTTTGAACAAACATGAACCGTTGATTTGTGCACATCTGATATCACTTGGTGACTTATTGTGACATTTTATATAATAAAACCTGGAGTATGTGTCATTCCGTTTGACAGTAACATCTCGTTTCAAGTCATATGCTACACTAAATGTATTATATTTTTACCAACTTATGTACAAATGCTTACATCTGCATTCAGAGATCCGTATATGTTTCAGCAGGCATTTCATATATGTACGTTTTGGTAATCATCCAGTGTCAATTTAGACACTTGAGATTTGAGTCCTGCAACGATTCTTGCTGGTCAAGACTTACTTAGTGTGACAGTTATCAAAACACTTTGACATGGTTCCGAATATTACCTTTAGAATTTAATTTAATGACCATTATCATTATAAACTTCTCATGCTGTCATGTTTAGTCATTTTTGTAGCTTTTTCTTGTTCAGACTGGAATGTTCATGTCAACATTCACAAATCTCATACATTAGGAATTATACGAGGGATATTATTGGTATATTGTTATTTGATATTAGTAGAATTCATAGATATTATGAGATATTGTTGAGATATTGTGAGATGTGATTAAATATGATTTTATGTAATATCCTACTATGTAATATATCCTCCTAATATCTATTTAAGAGAGATGAGGGTAGATGAATAATATATTTGCCTTTTCTATTTCTCTACAGGCTCGACTCAAATGCTGATGTGAACATGAACGTTCTTTTTCTGCATGTTTTGTCAGTTTTCAGTTTTAAGTGCATCGAGTCTACTTCAAATCCATTGCCTGATGAGTTATATTCATAAGTTTACATTAAGCAACGGACACAAACTCTATGTGAAGTCGTTATCCAATTGGTCTTTGCCAAAAAAGTAAACTTCATCTTTCATGTGTCTGCACAATTCTCTCGCCTTCAAGTAGATTTCGTCTGTTCTTGGATGGGAATAATCTCCTGCTCGGAACTCATGAACCTTATTCCTTAATTCAATCCAACTCTTCCCAGGTTCCTTCTTTGCCCCATTCTTTCTCATCAATTGTCTTACTTCCGCTACCCCATCCCAATCTCCTAAATCTGCGTACAAGTTGGAAAGTAAGATATAAGCTGCAGAATCCCCAGGATCTAATGCCAGTATCTTCTCCATTGACCTTTTCCCTCTCCTCTGATCCCCATGAATCCTGCAAGAACTTAGTAGTATTTTCCACACAAGTGCATTTGGCTCATAAGGCATTCTTTCGATGATATCCTCTGCCTCATTTAGTCTCCCTGCTCTTCCCAAAATATCAACAACGCAGGCATAATGATCAAATCCCGGTTTAATGCCATATTTGGTATGCATCATCTTGAAGTACTTGTCAGCTTCATCTGTCAAGCCTCCATAGCTGCAGGCAGTTAACAACGCGACAAAGGTTTTTGCATTAGGTGTTACTTCAGCACCTTCCATCTTGTTAAAAAGCTCTAGAGCCTCTTTTGAGTAGCCACACTGGACATACCCACTAATCATAGAAGTCCACGACACTACGTTCTTGTTTTTTGTTTCTGAGAAAACTTTTTTTGCCTCTTTTATGCTGCCACATCTGCTGTACATTGTTATAAGAGCATTGGTCACTGCAGTATCAGCAATGACCTCTGAAGATGACTTTGAGATCAGAGCATGGACCTGCCTCCCTTGCTGTATTGCTGTGGAATTGGCACACACAGATACGACACTGGCAAAGGTGAAGCTGTCAGGTTTCAGATTCTCTTTGTTCATCAAAGAGAGGAGCTTCAGGACCTGTTCAATATAGCCATTATGAGCATACCCAGCGATCATCGAATTGCATGTTATTACATCTTTTCTCTCTATTCCATCAAACACCTTTCTAGCTTCTATGATAGCTGCAGATTTTGAATACATATCAATTAGTACACTCCCCAAGAAGTCATCCAGTATTAAACCCGTCTTTATCATGTTACAGTGGATTTGCTCTCCCACTCCTTGCCAAGAGAGTGAAGCACAAGCTGCCAGTGCACAGGCAAAGCTGTATTGGTCTGGATTGAACCCTGACAACTTCATCTCTTTGAATATGTCCAGAGAGAGTTCGGGTTCTTCATTGTCAAGGTAAGCCTGAGCCATAGCGTTCCTAGAGATGAGATCGGGTTCGATAATATTCTCCAAAGCCTTCCTAGAGTCTGATATCGATCCATTTCTTGAATACATTGTGATGATGTTGTTTCCAGTTGCAGTATCAGACTGCTGACCCATCTTAACCGCGAGACCATGGAGCTGCTTCCCTGTATCTGTTGACAATTGAGTGGAGGCTGCCTTCAGAAGGATGGAGATGGTGTATTTATCTGCGAGCAATCCAGATTTACCCATTTGATGAAAAAGTTGGAACCCTTTATCGAGCATCCCATTTCCAAGGCACGCGGAAATAATAGAGTTCCATGTGATTATGTTTCTCTTAGGCATTGAATTGAAAACCGACAATGCATTTCTAGGTTTTTGGCATCGGGCATAAGCATCTAAAAGAGCACTCCCAATAACCACATTGGTCACTACCCCCCTCGTAATAGTCTGTGAATGAAGCTCTTTGATGGAAGCTATTTTTTCTGATCCTAACAGACTGCCAAAGGTGAAGTCATTTGGTTCTTGATTCGAATGCATCATGTCTACAAACAAAGCCAAAGCACGGTCACCGCATCCATTCTTGGAATAGGCAGCAATGAGCGAATTCCACGTTATTTCATCTAGCGAAGCCATATATTTGCTCACTGCCTCAGCTTCTTCCAGCCTGCCAAATCTCGAGTACATGTTTATCAAAGCATTGCCCACCTCAACCCTGGACAAGACGAGGCCATTCTTTATGATAAGGGCGTGCATCTGTTCCCCATGTTTTAAATCCCCCGAGCCAGAAGAAGCACGAAGAGCAGTCAGATAAGTGACATGGTCAGGCATCAGACCGGTATCTAGAATGTCGAAGAACAGCGTAAGAGAATCAATGAAGAGATTATTAGAGCAGTAGCATGATATCATGGCATTCCAAGAGACCAAGTTCCTCTGATGCATCCTATTGAATATATCTCTCGCCATTTCAGGCTCGCGGCATCTCGAGTAGAGATTGATAAACTGGTTGTTCAAGTAGAGGTCGGGCTCATGGCCGACGTGGGCAAGGTGGGACCGGAGGCGGTTTGCTTCGCGGAGGGCTTTGTTGGATATGCAGAGGGAGATGAGGGAGTTGTAGAAAGCTTGGGGATCTTTTGGCTTGGTTTGGTTGAGAGTGTAGAATTCTAATGCTTTCATGGCTGCTTCAAGCTCTGAACTGGGTCCCTGTCTGTTGATTGACGCTCCTGCTGCTGCTGCAGTTGTGGGAATGGATTGAGGAGTTGAGTAGCCATAGGATGAGTTGGGTCTTCAGAGGTTTCCGGTCTGTTGGTCTTGATTCAAGGAAGTGTTGAGAATGTGCTGCAACTATTGCGAGAAATAGGGAGGATAAGGAACATGTGGATATGGTGAAATGGACAGCAGAGGATTTTTTTTGGACTCCATATAATCCATGACACGTATTAAAAAAAAAGAGCGAGAACACGACTAAAAATAGCAGAAGAATCTCTCTGCTGGAGTTTACTTGTCCGTTTGCACGCATCTGAGAGTCATATGTCTGCTAGATGAAACTGCCGATGGTATGTGATAACATGTGAGGTGAAGTCTTTTGAGGGGGGGAGGAAGTATTTTGGGGAGTTTATTAGACCAATCCGTATGTAATAGGCGAGCTTTGCTTCGATTGGCGAGCTTCTGCTTACCAGGCGAGCTTCTATCTTCTGGCGAGCTCTGCTTTGATCGGTGAGCTTTGCGCGATAGGCGAGCTTTGCCAACTCGCCTACATAATGCAGGCTGCCTGTTCTTAAGACTTAGAAAACTTTCGACCTTTTGAGTCAAAGTTTCTAATTTCCTCTTGTTGTATTTTGCAGCTCGAGAGGAGGCCCCGGTTGTTAGGCCTCACAACATAAGATCCTTTGGGAAGAGACCCCTCTCAGAGAGGAAGTGGACCGATATGAAGAAATCGCTCGCAAGAGGAGTCCGGCTAGATATGAGCGCATTAATCTCGAACCCATAGTGATCTCCGATGATGAGGGAGAAGAGCTGTCCCCTCGATCATCCACTCCGCAATTCCCTTCACAGCCTTGGCCTAAGTCTGGATTCCCGGACCTAGCAAACATAGGGGGTGGATGGAGGCCACCTATTGATGACGAAGGGTCGCTCTCCTAGATCCAGCCTAATTCTATGATTGCCCCCAGTCAGACATCTATTACTTCGGACTCCGGATCCCCGCGGGGCCTCGTTCAATGGCTGGAGAATGCTATGAAACAAGCGATTTCCATCATTAGTGTCAGGTGGGACACCTTCTTTTATTTCTACCCCTTCATAGCTGATAGACTGAAGGATATCTAGCGCATGGGCGGTATCGGGCTGGCTAAGCGTTGTGAGGAAAAGCTCATTCACCTGGAGGAAGCCGTGCATCGTTTGGAAGGGTTGGTGTTCACCGACCCGTGTGATGAGGTAGCACCACTCATAATCGAAGCTCGGATCAGAGCTTCTCGCGAGCGTAAAGCTCGAGAGAAGAGGATATCGGAGCAGGAGGTTATCATCGCGAACTTATGTGAGCGACAACGTCATATGCAGACTAAGATGGACGCTTACAACAACATTGCTGAGCATACCGGAGTCAGGACCGCCTAGGGAGAGGCGAACATGAAGCACCATAAGCTCAAGAGCACCAGAGTTCATGGTGCTTATAGAGAAGCGATGTAAGCTCTCCATGCGCTGCGTCGAGAAGACACGGCTGCTGCTGCTGCTGATGCTCTTGTTGAGGCTGAGTTCCAGAAGGAAGCTGAGGAGTAGCTCCGAGCTGATCAGGCGAAGAGGCTGGCCGCTGTTAAGGCCAAGCTCGCATCCTTTAGTTTGATGGATTAAGCTCGCCAGGGTTGATTTTGAGACGTCTCCATGTTTTTGTTCTGACTTTGTTTGATTGTATTGTCTCAAAATCAGCTTATGAATTAAGTTTATGCTTTTGTTGTCCAATGTCGTGCGCATATACTCCTTTTCTCTTGTCCCTCTTAGGATTTTTAGCAAACCCTCAGCTGTCAACGAGTTTAATTTGCCTTTACCGATTACCGTTTGAATCGGGCTAGCCATACTATTCCTCTCAGTATGATGAGTTGTTGGAAAGTTTCTTTTAGACTTAATGCTAAAATATCTTTCCTACCCTTAGCCGTTCGAGGTATCGGGTTGAGTTAATTACAACCGTTAAGTCATAATTGAGTTGAGCCGTATTGTTAAGTATAACAACTTAGTCCAACGGGTGAACGATAATTTATGTAAATAACCGGTCAAAAATCCGAATGACAGCGCCCTGCTTGGTGGGTCGTCGTTCGGGAATAAGGAGTCGACAGGGCACATTGCTTGGTAGGCCACTATCAACGAGCAATGCCATTTGCAAGAATGATGGTGTTGGGAGAATCAAGTCATTCAGGGACATATGGATGTGACGATTGATTGTTATAGGAGCCATCACATGGTAGGCTGCTACCCATCGACTATTCTAAGGATATTAGAACATTCGGAATGATTCAAGTCATTCAGGGATGTATGAGTGTGACGACTGATCAGACAATGCTATTTGCAGGAATGACGGTGTTAGCTATCTTGGTGATCGTTAACCTGATAGGAATTAGCGCGATCGGAGCGACTTTGATGACCTACCATCCTATTGAAGAGGATTGGTAAGTTGATTGGATTGTCACGATTGGAGCGACTTTGAGGTCTTACCATCCTATTAAAGAGGATTGGTAAATTTTGTCAGAAGTGGTTGTTAACGTGACAGTAGGAGTGGACCCATTGTCCTGTTGAAGAGTATCGACGGAGGAAATTTGGAGGGGACTATCAGAGGTGATCGTTAACGTGATAGTTTTGGGGATCCATCATCTTATTAGAAAAGCTTGGCGAGGGAACTTGGCTTTGGTCTCAACTATAAGAAGATTTGACCCGGTGGGAGTTTGGGTCCGAGCTGGTGAGTGCCGCAAGTGCCATCATGGGCTTCCTATGCTTCTGTCGTAGAGATACATCGAAGCAACATGCCATCGTACGATTTACGATACAATACCTTTATGGTTGCATCGTAGTAGAACCTCGGTGCGCGTCTGCAAACAAAATCTCGCACCTTAATGTCTTCAGGTAATATACCTTACAATACGTAGTCGATGATTGGGAAGCGCCAATCTCTCGGTTCGGATTAGCCTAAAATTTGGTGAGTTGCATTCACCTCCAGAGCATACTCCGGTTGGTAGAGTTGTCAGCTTGCGACGATGACTTGTTGGCTTGTCCCCAGCGGCTGGGCTAGGTTAGCTGCCAATGACGCTAATGCATCTGCATGTGTGTTCTTAGAACAGAGCACGTGCTCGATGTGGAAGATGTCAAATGATTCGGCTAGCTTGATGGTCGCTTGGTGACATGGGATCAAGTCGTCATTTCTGACTTCATATTCTCCCATCATCTGTCTTACGATGAGTTGAGAATCACCGAAAGCTTCAAGATGCTTTGCCCCAAATTCCTTGGCGTGGGCTAGGTTAGCTGCCAATGACGCTAATGCATCTGCATGTGTGTTCTTAGAACAGAGCACGTGCTCGATGTGGAAGATGTCAAATGATTCGGCTAGCTTGATGGTCGCTTGGTGACATGGGATCAAGTCGTCATTTCTGACTTCATATTCTCCCATCATCTGTCTTACGATGAGTTGAGAATCACCGAAAGCTTCAAGATGCTTTGCCCCAAATTCCTTGGCGAAGTCGAGTCCAATGAGCAATGCATTGTACTCAGTCACATTATTGGTACATGGTTCTGTTAAAGAGAAAGCTTGGGGTAATACATGGTTTTGCGTATAAACTAAGACTACCCACACACCTGGGATGATAGACCCACTGGTGCCCACGCGAGAGGTGCCGTCGATGTATAGTTGCCAGACTTCTTCCTACAAGGTTGCATTGACCTCGTGGGTTTCATCCGGCATGTCTTCAAATAGGTTAGTCTTCAACTCGAGCGGATGACTGGCTATGAGATCGCAGATCGCTTGTCCTTTGATAGACTTCTGCGACATGAAATAGATGTTGTATTGAGAAAGCAAGAGTGCCCATCGCATCACGTGCCAGTTCAAGGACCCGGGCTGTGTCATGAAGACTCGGATGAGATTCATCCGAGAGATGACATGAATGGTTTGACCGACCAAGTAGTGTCGCGTTTTCTGAATTGCGAACACTAGGGCCAGACATTCTTTTTCAACCATGGGGTATCGGTGCTCGGCTCCCTGCAAGATCCTACTCAGGTAGTAGATGGCTTGCTCATGGCCAACATTATCATTCTGTGCTAAGAGGGTGCTTAGAGAATGCTCCATTGCTCTTACATAGATCAGAATAGGTTTCCCCGAGACGGGAGCTGCTAAGACAGGCAGATTCGAGAGATAAGTCTTGATCTAATCGAACACTTGTTAGCAAGGCTCGTCCCATACGAAGAAAACACCCTTCTTCATCAGCTTAGAGAATGATTGACATTTGCTCGAAAGATTTGCGATGAATCTTCGGATGTAGGCCAAACATCCTTGTAGTCCTTTCAATTCCTTGAGATTTCTAGGCGGTTGGAGCTCTTGGATAGCTTGCACCTTGTTTGGGTCGATATAGATCCCTTACATCATGATGACGAATACGAGGAACTTGCTACTCGTCATGCCTAAGAATGACTTTGTAGGGTTCATCTTCAGTTGATGGTAGCGCATGAGGTCGAACATGACTCTCAAGTCTTGAAGGTGATCCACTTTGTCGTGACTCTTCACGACCAGGTCATTCATGTAGCATTCGACTGTCTTCCATAGATGATCTCGGAAAATGATGCTCATGGAGTTCTGATAGGTTACGCCAGCATTCTTGAGTTCGAAGGGCATGACTGTGTAGCAATATACCCTATCGGAGTCCTGAACGAAGTATGCTTCTCGTCTTCAGGGTGCATCTTGAGCTGATTATACCCTGGGATTCCGTCCATGAAGGACATCCTCTCAAAACCATAAGTGTTGTTGATGATGACATCCGTGATGGGCAAAGATAATTCGTCCTTAGGACATGCAGTGTTCAGGTCTCTGAAGTCAATGCAGTTACAGATTTTTTTGTTCTTCTTCAAGACGGGAACAGTGTTAGCCACCCAATTAGGGTGTTGTTCCTCCCTGATGAAGCCTGATTCAATCAGCTTCTTCACTTCGGTTTTGATCGCCTCCATGATTTGTGGATGAATTCGTCTCTGCTGTTTCTTGACGGGTTTGGCATCTGAGCCGATGTCGAGATGATGCATGGCGATCTGAGGATCCAGGCTAGGCATGTCCTCATAATTCCATGCGAAGACATCGATATATTCTTGTATGAGGGATATGAGGTCTTTCTTCTCCTAGGGAGGTAAGCTGTCGCTGATGAATATGGGTTTAGGGTTTGCCTCATCTCCCACGTTAATTTGAAGGATCTTGTCCTTCGTGGGTGGTTCATGCTATTCGAAGCGACCACTCCACTGGGCACTAACGTGGCGATCCCATGCTTCATCATAAAGTGGAATCTATTCATCCTCTTGGACTTCAGCGGGATCGACTGTAGCCATATTGACTGTGAGGTTCTTAAACAAGGATCCGATGCTAAAATCTGAATCCCAAGTCGAGGATGTTGATGATTGATCATTTGAGCAAGCAACATCGGATATTTTGTCGAAATTGTAGTATAACTCGGAGGAAGAGAAGGAGTAACCTAGCCCTCTTCGAGTTTTGCTATAGTAATTGTCAGGCTTCCCTCTTGGGACATAGGCAGGTCAAAGGGGCATCTTCCGGCCTTTGCCATACTTTAAGCCTTCCTTATGGAGGAAGTCATAACCCATCCTCTCCATCATGTGTTTCGCGACGGGACTGTAACATGAGAAATAAGGAGCATGTTCATCTTTGTCTGACTCATCCCACAATGTACGTGTGGGCTAGTCTATCCTCCCGAAGATAATCTCTTGCTGAGAAATATTTCGGGCAGGTATGACAAAGACAGCTTGCGAGGACTCAATCATTTACCTGTTGATGAAAAAAACAACGATTACAGACGCGGCCAAGGCAAAAGTCGTAGGAAAGCCGTCGTTATACACCCTTGAGATCGAGTTGATGAACTCATCATCAACAGGTTTCGAACCGGACGATAAATAAGCAAATGCGAGACTTTCACTCAAGAAAAACCCTTCCGTTTCATCATCATCGGTTATAACAGGGCCTTCATAGCCAATCACAGTGGATTCAATATCGTTAAAAATGAGACCTTTATTGTTCTCGGGCTCACTATCAGCCTTATTACCGCTGCCAGGTTCATCGACCGGAGGCTCGTTGCTTGGCTTGGGGTCCTGGTAGAGCAGAAAATCGGTGAAATAGTTTTTAACTCCCTTGAAGGGCTATTTATCTGTATCCACAGTCTTTACTTGGTCACAATCATCCACATATTTCAAGCACTGGTGCATTGTGGATGGGACTATCCTGTTGCTATGGATCCATGGCCGACCCAACAACATGTTATAGGAGGGTTCTGCGTCAATGATGTAGCAGGTCACCTCAGTTTTTATATCACGCAGTCGATATTTGAGACGAATATTCCCAAGCGGCCGGGTTTCGATGGCGTTGAAGCTAAAGATAGTGGTGGTCGTTCAAGACAACCACTTTTGAGGTACCCCCAAGTGCTTGATGAGCTTCATGGGGACAATGCTTAGTGCAGATCCTGGATCAACTTGGATCCTGTCTACTCTCGAGGAACCGATGTACTCTGTGAAGTACAGGGATCGGTCGTGAGTCATGCTCTTGATGAGAATGTCTTCTGGAGTAAAAATGATGCAGGGGATCTGCTGTTTGGACATTTGGCAGCATTGTGGACATCTCATTTCTGCCTCCTCTTCGGAAGTGGGTAAGAAATGTGTGTCAAAGGCTTCTGAATTGGTCACCGCCTCTCGCAGGGCTTCGCGGGTCGTCTTGGACAACCGCAGGAGCTCATACAAGGTGATCCTGGCTGCAATGTTTTTTAGCTGTGCGAGTAGGTCGAAACGGAAGGGTTGACCACTTGAGTTCGGTCTGTCAGGACTTGGCTGAACTGTTGGTGGTAGTCCTATTGGCAGCCTTACCGGATTCTTTGCCATCGGAGGGTAGCTCTTAGCAAAGTCCTTCCCTGATCGGGTAATCAATGTGTCTGCTTCCTCGTCGGAATCGGTGAGGGTTGCTACCTTCGCTCTGTTATCGTTCGGAATTACCGAAATGACATTACAAAATTTAGACTTACCCTTGGACTTGTTGGAAGTCCATTGTTCATTGTCGAGGAGGTCGCGATGAACCCACATCATCTATCCTGACGGTAAAGTCCGCGACAACAATTCTTTTCCTCGTTGATTATGAGGTTCGTCATTGACAATCTTCAGTTCCACCTTAGGGATGGGCACGACTCCTGTCAGTGTATGAACCTCAGGGAGACCCATTCCGAATTGAAGGGTGACCATGTTTGTAGTCACTGCTTTCTGCACCTTCTCCTTCTTTAGGACTCCTACGTCGTAAAGAGCTTGTAGTTTATTCTTACGGATATAGCATTTGGAAGTGTGGTGACCGACAAATCTGTGGTATGCACAGTAGCTTGGATCATCAGTTTTGTAAACGTCTTTAGGTTTAATGACTTTTGGCAGCTTGATCCTATTGCTCTTGAGAAGAGTGTTCAAGGTAGCCACCACTTGGTATTCCGTAAAGTCGTATTGCCTTTGCGGAGGTTGCTCGAAGGGCTTGGGCTTTTGCCTCTGTGCTGGTTTGGGGGGCTGGACTGGAATCGACAGCGGATGATCTCCTTCCCTCTTGACCGAGGGTTCCTAGAGGTGTTTGGTTGCGAAGCTCTGCTCTTGGGCTGAGGTTCTTCAGCTTCCAATATTTTGATCATATTCTCGACTTGCTCACCTTGGCGAATAAGTTCCTTCCGGGTCCGGGTTTCCACCATGCCGATTTTGGACAAAATGTCGATTGAGAGGTTGTTGCCACACATCTCAACCAGGGTGTTCAAGGAGACTTGGTCCTGACACTGAAGTGATCGATTCCTGAATCTTTTGACGAACTCGTTGACTGATTCTATCTTCTTCTATTTGTCGGCAAGCAGGGTGGCCATCGACACTTCCGTGTCATCGTTAAAAAAAGGGGCCAAGAAAAGCCTTTCTATGTCGGCCAATGTTATGATGGAGCCTGGTTCCAGCTTACAAAACCATTCAAAGGTCACCCTCTCAAGGTACCAATGAACAGTTGCATGAGAATGACGTCGTTTCCTATGAGGAATCCCGTCTGAGATAGGAAATAGTAGATGTGCTATGAGGGAGAGCCCTTGTCATCAAACTGGACCAGGCTCATTGGTTCGAACTTTGCCGAGTAGGCGACTGTGTCCCATTCGATTGGATACGGTCAAACTACCCCCAGCTCATTCATGTTCTTCTGGAGCTTCAAGGCGTTGAGTTGACTCTGGAACTCATCGAACCTCTTGTCACGGGGAGTGCTGCCTGAATGCTAGTGTCTTTCCAAAAATTTGTTAGAATAATCTGAATGCAGCTCGCGATTATCTTTTTCTTCACTTGTGTGAGGAGAAGTAAGCTCTCGCTCTCTGTTCCTTGAGAGTCTTCGTCGATTTCGCGAATTCCTCTTCTTTTTCTTCTCGTTGAGAAGTTGTTCCATCATCTCCCTTAGAGAGCTGATGGTTGCCTATTGCTCCTCGAACTTTTTAGCGAGGTCATCGGAGGCCTCCACCATGTGCACCTTCACGTGCTTGCCTTAGACTGAGCTTGAGGTTTGAGATGTCACTGTTGCTGAGCATACCTCATCCTCATTGTCGTAGAAGGGCGACAAACAAGCATAATCGAATGGGATAGCTGCTCCTGTTTGAAGGCGAGTGCGTTGGTATGTACCCCCCTCTTCAACAGGGGGCCATCTGAATTCTGGGGTATATTCAAGATCTGATGAATCCAAATTCCAGGCTCTACCCTTCCCTGCCATGTTGACTATAGCTATCGAGAGTTCCAAGTTGCCAATGAATCACTTCATTCGACTATTGCGTCTTCGGCGATGGCGTCTTGGTTCAGGAAACCGTTGAGAAAGCCTCTCGAACACTGATGGCTTTAGTGCCTCGGTGCACTGGTAGTCAGCAAGTACTGATAGTATGGGCCTCTCATAATGGCACTGAGGGTTCGCCTCATAAATAGTGCGTTTGCGAGTTAGATTTTCCCTGAGATCCCCTGTGGGTTGGTGGTGGTGACCCCTTGTGTCGGAAGGACCAAGTGTGCAATCACACGAAGGAGGACTCAAAGGAGTCAGAATGAGAACACTTGGGA